CCCAGGAGTTGGAGGTTGCTGTGAGCTGTAATGCCACGGCACTCTACCCAGGGGGACAGCTTGAGGCTCTGTCTCAAAAAAAAAAAAAAAAAAAAAAGAGAGTCATACTTAATGTCCAATAAATGGTAACCCATAATGATATGTTTCTTGCTCCTATGATGGTTTTTTCCATTTTTATTTCCTCTTTGTTATTTGGCCTCCCCTACCACCCACCATGCTCCCTCACTAACCCGTTCTGTCTCCCTTTTTGTTTTCTTCTTTTGACTTTTTTTTTTAATAGCTTGAAAAAAACATGTGAGCTCTGCTATTTCTCTGCTCCTCTTCCCTCTGTTCATGTAGAATGCCTCGTCCCCTTTGCCTGATCCCTGACCTTGGCCTCTTACCCCAGGGCTTATCAATGCCAGGCTGGCTCTAGTATTGGCAGGTCAGCTTGTCTCCTCTGACCCAGTCTATTCTGTCTGCTCTCATCACATCACCCCATTGCTCCCATTAGACCCTCTTCATTCTTTCATTGCTGATGCAATTCCTACTAGTCCCTTTCCCAGTCTCTGTTACTCCAGCCTCTGATTCTCTACAGTGGGTAAGTTTCTTAAAGAAAGGAACTAGAACTTGGAGGGTTAAGAGTAAGAAAGTACGGGGCTGGGCACAGTGGCTCACACCTGTTATCCTAGCCATGTGGCCAAGGTGGGGTGGATCCCTGAGCTTAGGAGTTCAAGATCAGCCTGAACAAGAAAAGCAAGACCCCCGTTTCTACAAAAAACACAAGAACTAGCCAGGCATGTGGTGGGTGCCTGTAGTCCTAGCTACTTGGGAGGCTGAGGCAAGAGGATTGCTCAAGCCTAAGAGTTTGAGGTTACTGTAAGCTGTGACACCACAGCACTGTACCCAGGACAACAGAGTGAGATTATCTCCAAAAAAATAATAATAATTAATTCATTAAAAAAATAAAGCATTTTTTTAAAAAGTAAGAAAGTATAAATCACATACACATACACACACACACACTCATCCCTCCTTGAGAGCTGTGAAAGAGCAAGGCCATATAAGAGACCACCACAGTTGTATACTTTGGGACCTGTATGTTCATTTGTTAGTCTTCTCCTGGAAAGCAAAGGGCACACAACAGGAATTAACTGGGGCTTGGGACAAGCTATTGATCTAGATCAAGGACACTGCGGAGTTGCTATGTGCTGGGAGGGGGTGACATCTGGAATGTGAACAAGGACACATGGTGCAGGCCTGGGGGGCTGAGACAAAATGCCCTTGTCCCCACACAACCTCCCCAAACCCCCAGCTCCCAATGCCGGTATAATTGGGCTTCTTTCTGCACATTCCATGGCATTAAGTGAACCTGATTGTCTCCCAAAGAAAAGTCCCCCAGAGAGGAACCAGGCTGGATCTCTTGTAAGGGAAGATCTCTGGAGAAGCCAGTCTAGGGGTTCTTGTTGCAAAAAGCCCCAGAAGAGGAGAGGAGTCCTAAAGACTTCAGGCTGCTTCCTGGTAGAGGGAGTTTCCTCTCATACCCTTGACCTAAAGCCTTAGTTTCAGTTCTGCCAGGCAGGGGGGACCATGAGTCTTCTATTCTAGAACCCATGCTGGAGTCTGAAGTGAGACGAGGTATTCTGTTCTGGACATCCAAGAGTGACTTTACAGAGGATGCCTGGAGGACATGGGGAGAAGCTGAAAAGAGGTAAGATGGAGAAATGAAGAAGCCAAGCATGTTGGAAGTTGCTAATGACTACTAATCCGTAGCACTTGAGAGTAGGAGGATATCAGGATTGTGTCCACTGAAAGGACACTCACAGTCCTCTGGGGGCTGATCTGGAAAGGTTAAGGGTTCTGTTGGAAAGGTAGAGCAGGATGTACAAGCCCTCCACTCCAGCCCCCGGAAAGCCTCAGGGCAGCTGGAATGGCATTGGAGAAAGCAAGTTGATGAGGAGCTGTTGACAACTCCTGATCCTCTGGGCACTGCAGCCATAACATCAGGAAGAGAAACTCCACGTGAGAGTGCTGGGGAACCATAGGTGTCCGGATGTGGAGCCTGGTCGGGTATTCATCCTGGTTTAGGCCAACATGATCTAGCAAAGGCCAGGCACTTGAAGGAGAGGAGCTGAGGCAGGGATGACACGAAGGGCAGTAAAGCAATAGCTGGTTGTCTTGGGAGGTGAAAAGCAGATGCCACTGCCCTTCCTCAGGGAGACAGCTTTCCATCTAGATAGCACCGGAGACTGGTGTCTCTGCTCTGGCCTTTTTTTGCAACTGGGAGGAAGGCAGATGACCACCAAAGCTCTCCTGCCTACTTCTGTGTGATATGTTTGATATTGGGTTGTTTAATTAGGAACCAACTAAATGTCAGACATATTCTTATAGCAGTAGGCAATTCGGCATCACTCTCTTTCCTACCTCAACTCTTGGGGCTCTGGGATCTCTGTCTTTTTTACTGAACCTCATGTCTCCAGGACTTTCCCTTGAAAGACCAATAGCTACTAGAGTGCTGGTGTGGGATTGAGAGAGAGCTGAAATTTGGAAATCAAGTCATTTCATACCTCCCTCCTTATGCTGAAAGGATTTATCTCTTTTCTTTACCTTTATTTTTTCTCTCCTTATTCACCACCCTTGCCCCCATTATCCACTGCTTCCTGTCCCTGAGACTGTCTTATTCCCTAGTCCCTTTCCCTGGTGAGTCTCCAAAGAAAGGAGACTTGGTTTCTCTTCCTTCTTTCCAGAGTCACCTGACAGTTTATCTGCCTATCTTCCTGTCTTCCTCTTGTGAATGAAAGCTCTCAAGAATAGACTCCAGGTCTGCTCTGCCCTCTGTCCTGGTGGGTGTCTTAGTTCTCCCCTTGCTGAGGTTTAGCATTCACACAACTGTCCCTGACATATGACTAAGTAGAGCCATTTATATTCTTCCCTGATGGCTCTGATCACCTTGAACAGTGCCCACCTCTTCCCTGGCATATTCTCAGGTATATAGTGCCAGTGTACTGGGATCAATTGCCACCTGTCAGTAACCAGGCTCCAACTGTAAGAAAAACATGGCCTGGAACTGAACTGGGAAGAATAAAGCTAGTAATGATTATTATGATGATGTGATGGGTTGCGGGGGGTGGGGGGAGTAAGAAGGGAGAAGAAAAAAAGAAGACAAGAGCAACAGGTACAAAAGTTCTAGTTTTCTCGTAGTTCAAGACCACTGTAGGAAAACAGGTATGCTCCTGTGGGATCATTCTCACCCTCCCATTTCTCACCCCACCCCACAGTATGTCTGCTGAGGTTGCCTTCCAGATCCCAACCCCACCCTTTTACTCTTTTCCTGTGGTTCCTGGGGTGGGGGGGAGAAACAATATCTTCTTGCCAATTAGAGACTCCCAAAATAGCATAGCAATTTGATCTGGGGATCTGGGAGAATTGTCAAGGATCGTGAGTGACCTCTCTTCACCGTTGCCTAAGCTCCCCGAATACCAGGAATCAAAAGATGAAACTCAACCAGTGGAGACTAATCAGCATCCAACACAATCTGGGGGAGAATAAGAGGGGGATTGAAGGGCAACCAGGACCCTCTGGATGAAAACTGCTATCTAGAATTACATTTTAGAATTACCAAAGTACCCTTCTCTACTTCAATGTTCTCCTCTCCCCTTTTCCTGCTCTTTACTTTTTTTTTTTTTTAATATAGTATTAATAAGCTAAGCTTTGGCCATACTCTTCTTGCTCTTTTAAAACACCCAGTATGAGGGGAAACTTTCAGCGTCAGGGAGAACCTCTTCCCTCCCCCACTTTCCATTGAATAAAATCAGCCTCAGCTGTTCCTAAATATTTTTTGCTAGTGATGTCAGTCCATCAAAGTGTCTCACCCTGTGTTACCCCAAGAGAACAATGATGGAGTAGAAGGAGCTGGAAAGGCCATATTAGGAACAAGAGGTGGAGCTGTGAGCACAGATAAAAGCTCAAATCTGAGGAATTTCTAGTCATTCCAGAAGCAGCACCTCCTTTCTTGCCCTGGTCTCCAGTTCTCCAGTGTCTACAGGTGAGCCTAACAGCCACTGCTCATGATGGAAGCCATTAAGAAAAAGATGCAAATGCTGAAATTGGACAAGGAGAATGCTCTGGATCGGGCAGAGCAAGCTGAAGCTGAGCAGAAGCAAGCAGAAGAAAGAAGCAAACAGGTAAGGACTGGCATCAGTCTCTCTCATGAGCTGGCGAACAAAACTATGAGAGGGAAGTGAGTTTTTATGGGAAAGGCAGTGACCACTGGTGCTAGCTCCTTCTTGGGTAGGAGGGATGCCCCAGCTTCACTGGAGGGGCAGAGGGTATCTGCCTCAGGACTGTCTATGTGATCTTGGGAAAGTCAGTGGCATCTCTGAACCACAGTGTGTCTGCTGAATTTTAGTAGAAGTGGACTATGTTTTGGAAGAACCTTTGACTTCTAGAGGAAAGGTAAGAGTTTAGCATGTAGCATCTCTTTTCTCTTAAATAGCATCACAGACATCTACACCCTTAAATAGTTACTATCCAAGGGTCTTGAATGAAAACCCAGGGTGGCTTGGTCATCTTAATGTCACAAGCCACACTATAGCAAAAACTCCTTGGGCAGTGGGCTGGCAGTGGCTGGGGAGAAAGTGTGTCTCTCTCAGGATGGTAACATGGAGGCTGAAAGCAGGGCCCAAAAGCCTAGGGTCCAAGCCTGCTATTGTGTATGAATGTCTTTATGACTCTTTGAACCTCTAAAGCTGGAGGATGAACTGGCAGCCATGCAGAAGAAGCTGAAAGGCACAGAGGATGAGCTGGACAAGTATTCTGAAGCTTTGAAGGATGCCCAGGAGAAGCTGGAGCTGGCAGAGAAGAAGGCAGCTGATGTGAGTATTAGAGAGATGGGGGATAGGTTTATTCTATACATATAGATCTTTATATGACTAAATTCACTTTTAACACACTCATGGGTTCACAGAAGATAGACATATACATGCCACGTACATCTTTGCATATAAACACTTGTTGGTATTATCCTCATAATGGCATATATTTTCCTTTTTTTTGAGACAGAGACTAGAGCTGTCACCCTGGATAGAGTGCTGTGGTGTCATAGCTCACAGTGACCTCCAACTCAGGCTCAAGCAATCCTCTTGCCTCAGTTTTTCTATTTTTAGTAGAGACAGGATCTTGCTCTTTGCTCAGGCTGGTCTTGAAATCATGAGCTCAAGCAATCCATCCACCTTGGCCTCTCAGAGTACTAGAATGACAGGTGTGAGCCACCACACCTGGCCATATATTTTCTTTCTTAAAGATATGTCTCATTTTTGCCCTACCCCCGGCCCAGGAATTTAATTATCTTTCCCAGGATCAGGACAAGGGAAAGGGACTCTAAGTCCAGACTGCTATCACTCATCCTACCTCCTCCTCCCCCATGCCACATTCTTAGCTTTTGTATCCAAGACTTGGCATGTAGAGATGTGTATTAATAGAGACCCTCTCATCCCTCAACTGCTCAACAAAGCCAGCTCAGATTTCACAATGGGAAACAGAGGTCACATTGACCCTGGCCCTATATGGGTTTATTTATTTTGGCCACTATGGGCACGTACCCTTATCCACAGAGACACCCCAGAAAGCACTGCTCATGTTGCTACAGGGAGGCCCCGTAGAGACCCACTACCATAGAAATTAAGAAGGGATCTTACAGGATAAAAGTTTCACTACAAGACCTTACTCTATGACCTTGAGTAAAGTATTCAGCCTCTCTAGGGCTGAATTTCCCATTGGTAAATGAAATCAAATGTCTTTTTCTACTTTATATTATCTCATAATCACCTACTTCTCTCTTTTTTTTTTTTTTTTTTTTTTTGAGACAGAGCCTCAAGCTGTGCTCCTGGGTAGAGTGCTGTGGCATCACAGCTCACAGCAACCTCCAACTCCT